GCCGTACCTCTAGGTTTCTCATGCTGGTGAAGAATTCTAGGCACGTGGTCTTCCCACTTGCAATATTGCCCTCGACGCAGACCTAGCAAAAGAGAAATGTCAATTAGAAGCAGACCTCCCCTGACTGGGGCACAGCAGGGAAGATGGCTGGGAAGGGGCTCAAGTGAACAAAAGTGGTGCAGTCCAAGTCTTCAGTGTCTTAACCAAAAACATCCTCAGGAAACCCCTAAGGTCTCCCAACAAACAACACAGCACACAATGGAACCCCTCCTTGGAGACAGATTCAAGGGCCCCTGCTGGTGGCCACAAGACCCCTCCCCTCCAGACCAGGACCTCCTGGAGCAGGCACAGCCTGCCCAACCACCCTGGCTCTGCCATCCTCTGGCTCAATGCCCCAGACCAAAGTGTCCTGCCTCCTTAACTGGAGCTAAGCCCTCCATGGGCAAGAAGCACAGTTATCGCAGTGCAATAAGCCACTTTTTTTTGGTAGTCACACAGTCTGGCAATGCCCACCAGATAACTAGGTGGGGCTATGCAAACCATGTGCTCGAGGCCCACCAAGGGGACTGAAGAGTTTGCCAATAACACATGTAGGTATGCAAGTGGGCCCGTGTAAATAAGTTATCTGGGACTCTAACAAGGGGATTGGTCAGTTCTGCCATCCTGCTAGGCTTTAAATAAGCCATCCCAGAGTGGAAAGGGGGGTGGACTTGACTACCACCAAGAAAGAAGACTGGGAGTGGGGTAAGTCCTTCAGGCCTGGCACTCCTGTGCAGAGAACCTCCTAGACCCAGGAGTCAGAGAGCTGCAGCACGGAAGATGGCCAGAGATGAGGAGAGGCAGAGGCACCAGAACCAGGAGGAGGTACAGTAGGCTTCCCCACTGCCGTCAGACTGAGCCCCTTGGGGCTGGAGGCATGCTGGCGGTGTGGGGTGAGCTCCACTTGATGGAGCTGTATTTGCCAACTCATGGAGCTAGAGATCTAAGCATCTACAAGCAGAGGTCCAGCAGAGTGTGGAACTTCTGGACACTTATGATGGAGCTAAAGAGTATTGTAACACCTGCCCAAGCAGGGCAGAGGCAAGCTCAAGAGCCCAAGGCCAGGGAGAGGCGGCCTTAAGCATAGCTAAGAAGCTGTCCTGATCACAGAAATGTATCCTAAGTCTTTCCTGATCCTGAATTGTAACCTGTTACTTCCACACGCTACGGAACAGATCAGCAATTGCTCTTAAGCAAGTTCAAGTTGAAGCTGAAGAAAAGCAAAAAGTCAACAAGAGTGAAAGTACAACCTGAGGTATATCCCACCTGAATGGCGAGACCATCTCTGTAAAAGACGTGCGGCATTGGACACGAACCATCAAAGATGAGACAAGTTATGGGATGCCATCAAGGCCATGCTACATCAAGAACGCACAACGTCATTCACGAGGCAGGAAAGAAAGACCAAGCTGGACACCAGAAGAGACTTAAAATTTGCTCGTGAGCTGAAGAGGCCACTTCACAGGGTGGCTTGAGAACACAAAGTAAAGACGATGCTACAAAGCTCATTGTGGTGATGATTGCATCCTTAGTACGATTTGCCTATTTAACTGTAGGGTTTGTTCATTATGCTCAATAAAACTAATTTTTAAAAGAGAGCGACATATCAGGTCCATTCTACCCTTTTGGTTTTCTAACTCCAAGACTTGCTTCAGCAGACCACCGGTAACCCACTGAGCTATCAAGGCTCCGCAGACGGTGTTAGGCAAAGGGAGGGGTGAGGGGAGGAAAGAGCTACATTTTGGTTGAGTGCCTTGGCACAGGGCTGGCCCTAAAACACAAGGATCCCATTTAACCTCCAGAACCAGAGAAGTGGGTCCTAACATGCGTCACAGAAGGGGGAAATGAAGAGGGACTAAAACAGAACGCAGTTTGAGCTCACACCTTGTTCACACTGACTACACCTAGGGGGGCTCCTCCCCCTAGGGAGGACCCACTAGTGCAGCAGTTCTCAACCTGTGGGTTGCAACCCCTTTGGGGATTGAACAACCCTTTCACAGGGGTCACCCAATGCATAAAAGTAGTACAATTACAGTGATGAAGTAGCAACAAAAATAATGTTATAGTTGGGGGGGTCACCACAACATGAGGAACTGTATTAAAGGGTCGTGGCATTAGGAAGGTTGAGAACCACAGCACCAATGGGAGGAGCCACCACCAGCTGCCAGCGCTGCCTCTCCACCCAAAACCAACGAGCCTCCAACAGATGACCCAATAAGCAAAGCAAGCACAGGCTTACTTGTGCTTACTTATTAATCTGTAGCACTGAATGACACATGGTTTTCACCACGCCTGAGACAGATCCCCAGGTCTGGCTTAGCTTTGCATTAGATCACATCCACACATAAGAATTGCCTAGGGATCTGGTCCAACTGTAGAGTCTGATTCCACAGATCTGGGGTGGACAGACAGGTTCTCAGCTGAGGGGGGTCAAACCAGCCTGAATCAGTTCACAACACGCTAAAGCTCTCCAGGTTTCTCACGGGCAGGCAAGGCCGGTCTGCAGCGAGCCTTCTCAAAGGGTCTCAGCAGAGACCCTGCTTCAGAATCCCAGAGGAGTTAGTAAAACCCAGTAGCACCCAGGCCTTCTGATTCAGATGGTGGGTTGGGCCTCACACCTGCCGCCCAGAGACGTTGTCAGGTCCCATCAGGGCATGCAGGTCAGGTGGCGTGGCTCCAGCAGACCCTAGGCAGCTCCACTGCAGTAAGAAAACAAGCACTCTTGAGAACATGCAGAGAACACGGCCTGCCACGTAGCATGGGCCGGCTCCCTTACACTCAGGCTGGAAGCACCCAGAACAACGCAGGTCACTTAAGCACCTCACATGGGGTCACAGTGGGTCAGGCCACTCTAAAGGTTTCCTCATCCCTGGCTCCTAAAGCACTCAACAATGACACTTCCAGCAAAGGCCAGGGCCCCGCCCACTGCTCTGGTAGCCCAGGCTACAGATTTAGCCCAATGGGCTGGGCACAGGGCACGAAGGGAGCCGTGATGAGGGGGCTGATGAACTGGAGTCCTGGGTTTTTATGCAAGGAAACAGCTTCTCAGATATTTTAAAAAAACTCATGCTACACATCCCCTCGCCCTACTTTGGACCATACTTCATAGATTTCTTGTTTGGTTTTGTTGGTTTTTTTTCTCCATCTCTGACACAGTGAGTCCCTTCACAAATATTTTTGAAACTATGATTATGGAGGCGAAAAATATTCCATCACCTAAGAGATGCCATGACTTAATGAGCGGACCACCTCCTCTTCCCCACCTCCTCCAGAAATAAAATCTTACCGGAAAATGAAAACATGCATGTCAAAGAGGGGCTTACCAGAGATTTTTTCTCCGTTTCCTTTACGCTATCTATACCTACAAGAGAAACCAACGTTTACATTCCAGTTTAAACAAGTAACTCTTTTGCCCTAGTTTGCCAAAAACCACCATAGAAACAGTCATTTATCACGTTTGCGTCTTGGCCTAAAGATGTTTTTTCCAAGACACCTGGGACTCTCCATGGATGGAAGGAGGCGGGAGGCAGATTAATTGCCCTGGTGACCTAGTGGATGATCTACTCGTTGGGTTGCTAACCACAAGCTCGGTAGTTCAAAACCAACAGCTGTTCTTGGGGAGATAGGTAAGGCTTTCTAATCCCCCAAAGCTTTACAGGCCATTCTACCCTGCCCTGGTGGGGTCGCTATGAGTCAGAATTGCCTCATGTGATAGAGATAGGCCTGTCAAGAGGCCTTCCTGGTGTATGGGGCTATGAAATGAACAAAGGAGCTGCTAAGCCCAAGGTCAGGGGTTCAAACCTATCAGCCACCTTCGGTTGATGTAAAAATTTAAAGTCTCACTCACCCAAAGGGGCAGTTCTACCTTGCCCTATAGGGTGGCTAAGGGTTGAAATGGAGTGGACAGCAGTGAGTTTTTTACACGCGCCTGGGTCTCATTGGCATGTCTGGACCCCAACTGTGCTACGGTTCATTTCACTTCGCATACTTCCATTTCTCTGCATATTTTATAAGCATGGTGTCCGCGGACATGTGTCCAGCAAGTAAAAACGCAGTGTGGCCTCTACAAATAAATAGCCCCCGGGGTAAGAGTGGGCCACAGGCCTGGGCTTCTGGGACGCCAGGTTTCTGGCATCTTTGACCTTCCAACCACAGGTGGCTCTGAGGAGCAGCCCAGGGCCAAGAACTTGGCTAGGATAGCTCCTATTTCCCAGGAAGCAGGTGCTCACTTCTAAAGGGGGCGGGCCCCAAACCTACGCGATCCACCTCCGGCTCCCACCAGCATCCACTGGGAATCAGTTAGCTGCAGCTCCTGACCCCCATTTCTCCCAAAGCCAAATGAATCCCACCAGAAATAGGTTGGGGCCAGGAGCCTGGGCCGCAGGGTGCAAAGCAGCCCCGCCCGCTGCCAGTGCCCGCGGGACCCCACTCCGATCCAGGGACCGGCTACGACTCCCGCCCCCGCAGCCCGGGGTCCGGCAGGGGAGAGTCCGGGTCCCGCGAGCCCGGGGCGGGGAGTGGGCGCTGCCAGGGGGACTGAGGGAAGCGGAAACAAAAAGGACGGTTACCCGGAAGCCTGGGTCCGTGCACGGCGCTCCCCGGGCTCCCCGCGCCCGCTCGGCGCACGGCGCCGGCGGCCCAGCGGCGCAGCGGCCGCAGCAGCATGGTGGGAGCGCGGGCAGCGGGCGGGGCTTCCTCTGGGGCCAGTCCGGCCTCCGCGCCGCCTCTTAAAGAGACCGCGCCGCCTTTCACCCCGTCTCCCCGGACGGAGACGTGGCAGGGGCGTCGCCGTTTGCAGACGGGAGCGCCCCTGGAACGCTGGATTTCAGGCTTCGACGACGTTAAAACGGTCCAAAACCGTCGCGAAGGGCTGGAGCCGGGTTCACGGTCCTTTCCTCCAAACTCGGACACTGCCAGAGTTGGGACCCTCCATGTGCTTGGTCCCTTAGGAAGACGACGACACGATCAATATTCCAACTGGACAAATCAGTTGGGGGTGGGGTGGGGACGGGGCACGAGTTGTGTCCGGTGACCACATCCATAGTCGGACAGCAAGTACCGGAACAGGAAATGTGACTCACTCCCCGACTCCTAACAACCCTATTGGGCAGGGTAGAAATGCCCCTGTGGGTTTCTGAGACTGTAACTCTGTAGTGGAGTAGAAAGCTCCGTCTTATCCCATCCTGGGGGTTTCAAACTGCTGACCTTGGAGTTAGCAGCCCAGCGCATAACCACTATGCCACCGGGTACCCTAGGAAATGTGAAGTAGATGGGATTTTGTAATCCAGTGAAACCAGGTTTTGTAAACCAGGCTGTTGTTACCCTTGGTGGGGGGGAGAAAGTGTGTGTGTGTGTGTGTGTGTGTGTGTGTGTGTGTGTGTGTGTGTGTGTGTGTGTGCGCGCGCCATTGATTGAACGCACCCAGGAGTGGTATATGATGTCAACAGTGTCCTCTCAGACAGGCAGATGGAAGTCAGTTACCAGTAATTTATTACCTGAAAGCTGCATCCCCACAGACTTGGCACAGGCCTAGGGCACCTCCAGGAATGAACTTCAGGCTTCAGTTCAATTTGGGGAGGAGCAATGGGACAAGGTTGTTGGAGGGACCTCTTGATCAGACTTCAGTGCATCTAATGTGTGGAAGCTGAGATGAGCAAGGTCCAAAGAGGTCGGCCTGGAGTGGGGCGATGGGCAAATTTTTCAAGGCAGAATGGAAGTCAAATGAGAAGACTTCTCACAGCCCTAAAAGAAAGCCTTTCGAGATGCGGGGGAGAAGAGCCTGCAGCCGTTCTGCGGGAAACAAGCATTCGTGAGAGGGCAAAAATAAAAACACATTGATCGAACCCAAGCCCAGACTGCGTTCATAAGCTCAGCCTGTGAGCCCGTGGGGACAGGGTCATTCAGGTCACACGCACGTTGTACCCCTAGGTCTGACAGAGACATTTGTCAGTTGGTGATAGACGCCATGCGAAAAGCGTGACTGTGATCGATCCAAATAGGGTGCAAAGGGAAACCTCTCTAAAATAGCATCTGGGACCACCCCCACCCCCGAGTGTGGGAAGGCCCTCCTCTCTCCTCCCCTCCCTCCTCCCCCTTGGGGAAGCGTTTCTTGGAAGGAAAGCTCCTTGGGAAAACTAAAGAGCAGTAGACACTGGCTTGCCGCAAGTGCTCAAATGAATCATACCGGTTCTGCCAGGTAGGAGGACAGGTCGGGGGCGGTGCAGGGGAGGGGCGGGCGAGCCAGGAACAGGGGCGGAGCGACCGCTGCCGTGGGGCGCATGCGCACCAGCCCGGGCCGTAGTGTCGCGCATGCGCACCAGCCCGGGCCGCGGTGCCGCGCATGCGCGCGCGAGGGGCGGGAAGCCGGGAAGAGAGGCGGTTGCGATCGCTGCGCAACGCCCTGGCAGAGCGCTGCTCTGCGCCGAACAAACCGCAGGGGAAGTGCGGCTGCTGGGTGGACCCGCGCTATGCCGCCCGCTCAGCCGCGGAGGCCGGGGACCCCCCAACCCCAGCCCAAGAATTATCGCCCCTTCTGCTTAAGCGTGAAAGGCCACGTGAAGATGCTGCGGCTGGTGAGGACCGGGTGTGGACGGGACCGTGTCCGTAGGAAGCCAAAAGCCCGGCTTGTTCTGCTTTCTGTCTTGTCTGTCTCCAGCGGGGGGCGGATGACCCAGTAAGCTAGGTAAGCCTGGGCTTGCTTGTGCTGACTTACCGGTCTGTGTCTGCCTTGCTTACTGGCTCCTCCTTCCCGGGCGAATTGTACTTTGGAAGAGGCTTTGATTCTGTAGGAAGGGCCTGGAAGTGGGACAGGTGCCAGCCATGCCTAGAAGCCCAATCTTTGAGGTGAAAACCGGGTAAATCCGTTCACTGCAGTTTACTTGGTAAGCACAAGCAAACTCGTGCTTACCTTAATTGTTGAAGAAGGCATTCTGCGCCACACCTGGCGGTGAAGGCGAGGAATAAGACCGGGTCATCTCTCTCAGCGAGTCCGTGGCCCACTCACCCATCAAAATCACCGGATCTACACGAATGGCCCACGCACGTGGACCCACAAACTCGATGCCTTGGTTACTGGGTGAGGCAGATGCAGTCGCACCCCTCAGATGCCAACAACAAGATAGGAATTGGACTGGCCCACCTGCAAACTGATACAGGACAAAGCAAGGATAAGGGCAGAGCATCAGAATGACCAGGAGCTCTGTGCCAATTCCTAAAATGGTCCCCTGAGACATTTGGAGGCAGGAAAAAAAAATGTTGATGGAATTGGAGAATAGAAACTGAAGGGGAAGTGGATAAGAATGGTTTTCCATCTTAAAAAGTTGATAAGTACAAAGGGGAGTGGAAATAAGGTAATAGTTACAAGAAAGCAAAGGTCACTTTCAGATGAGGAAAATTTTTATAGTGGAGAACGTCCTAAAATTCACTGGTCATTAGGGAAAGTGCCTGCCCAAACAGTAAAGTGTCCAGGAACAGAAGAGCACTTGGTGATGAAGGAGACTCCAATCTTAGGTGGTGGAGTGGAACAAACTATATATAATATCCTTCCTACCTGAGAGTTTGTGTTCCTGAGAAATAACTATACATCAGAATGCCTAAGAAGCCGCTGGATTTTTCAGGAGCACTAGAGGAGGAATGGGGTTTTGTGAAGCAGCTTTTGTTTTTGATGTTTTAATTGCTCCCACAAACAATTTGAGTATGTTCATGCTCTGGCCTAGGAATTGCAGTGACAAAGAAAGCAAGACTGTTCCCAACTCAGGAAGCCCTTCAGTCTCGTGAGGGAGACAGACGTATGAGCAAATAGCTACGATAGGTGAGAAGATGGAGAAGGATACAGACGAGGCATCTAACCCAGGATGGTGGGATAGCGAAAGATGTCGGGAAACTATCCCCACAGGATCCTGGAGTGCAGTGGGGCGGAGGCGGGGGCAGGATCCTAAGCAAAGGCAGGAAGGCAAACACCAGTATACTTTGTGCAGCAAATTATAACCAGTTGAGTCTTGCCTTATTTAGTCATTTAACAAATATTTTCTGAATGGTTGCCATGTCCCAGGTACTATGCCAGGCTCTGGGGCAGATCATTGACCAAACAAAGACCCGTGCCCATGAGGAGTTTGTATATTGGGGTTAGGCCGGCATGGGAGATACAAAACAAATGAGTGGACTAGAAGGTAGTAAATGCTATGGAGCAATAGTAAAGAGTAAAGCCAAGGAAAGGAATGTTCCGAGTGGGGGCTGGAAGGGGGAACTACAGATGGGTAGTCATCAGGAGTAATCGGGTCAAGTCTTGTTGAGACAACATCTGAGCAAAGACTAGAGGAAGAGTGTTTAAGGCTTAAGACCGTGTGCTGCACAGGCCTTTTGGTATGACTATTCCTGAATAGTTCAAAAGGGAACAAGGAGACCAATGTGGCTGGGGTGGAATGAGTGAGGGGGACCTAGTGGGAGATGAGAGGGGGTTTGACTAAGGAGCACATGATCTGACTTAACATACACCAGCTGCTGGGTTGAAGATAGGTAAAGGGAGGGGAGGGGATTGCTACGTGAAGACCAGTTAATGCAAATGCAGTATTGGGAGCAGGAGATGATGGTGGCCCAGACCAAGATGGGGTATAAGAAGTAGTTACACTTGAGATAAATTTTTAACAAAATTTGCCGATGAACCAGATGTGGCGTATGAGAGAAAGTGGAATCCAAGATACGTCCAAGGTTTTTTACCTAAGCACCTACAACAATAGAGTTGCCACCAACGGAAAACCCCAATCCTGTGGATGAAACAAATATGAGGAAGATTGGAAGCTGAATTTTGGATTTCAAAGTTAGATTCGAGTTCTTAGACATCCAACTAGCAATACTGAATAGGCAGTTTGTACATACATACCAGACTGGATTTGGGGAAAGAGATCTGGGTTTAGGAGATAGACGTAGCGTCATAGATTGAATTGTCCACCTCCACTTGGCTGGACCATGATTCTCAGTGGTTTGGCAGTTAGGTAATGATATAATCACCCCCATCATGTGTTCTGATGTGATCAGCCCACCAGTAATAGAGTTTTAGCCCTGAGCTGATGTTAGGGCCGTGCCCTTGGGGTGTGACCTGCATCACCTCTTCTCTTACAAGAGATATAAGGAGAGAGAAGCAAGCTGAGGAGGGATGTCCCACCATCAAGAAATAAGAGCCCCCCCCCCAAAAAAAAGAAAAGAAATAAGAGCCCAAAGCTGAAGGTCCAGATCTCCGCTCAGAAACTCCTAGACCCAGGAGAAGATAGATGACAAGGGTTGGCCTTCAGAGCTGACGGAGAAGAGAATGCTTTCCCCTGTAGCTGGCAC